GAGTGGTCCCAGGCCAGCGGTTCCAGCGGCACCTTTCCTGAGGCCCATGCAGGCTGGGCGCTGGCCATGGTCCTGACCAGACTGTGGTTCTTCTCCAGCTGCTGAGTTTGGCTAGATTGGGGGTGAGAGGATAATGGAGGACCTGAAAGAGGGTGAGGACGCTCACCTATGACGGACTTGATTCATTCTTAGGGACGAAGGAGGGGTGTGGATAGAAGTGTGTGCTTAGGAGGGTGACAATTAATTTGGGACAGCTGTCATCGGGGTTGACCAGGCAATCTCCAAGCATTCTGAAAAGGCAGCTGTGAAGTTTCAGCCAGTTAGACATGTTAGACATGAGGACCACTTCATGTGTGCAGTTGAACTCCTGGTTCTGAGGCTTCCGCAATGGTCACCATCATATCTGGGAATACTGGGTCTGCAAGAGAGAGAGTTCCTTAGTACCATGACTGGCACACTCACGGCGGTTAAATGCATGCATTGGTGAATGATGACGTTCAGATATAATGACCGAGGGGAAGAGGTGGCAGGTATCTTGGAACTCAGATTTAGCAAAGAGAAAGGAGGGACCCTTGCTTGGGATGGGGTGGTGCACAAATATTCTCATGCTCAGATATGAGGAACAGTGTGGGGAAGCACGGGACTTGGTTGGAATGTCTGTAAGGAGGATTCTCCGAAAGGTCAGGGGCCTCTGAGGGGACCTTGTCGTAGGCGGCAGCCCCTGCCTTGACTTTTCCAAACAAGTCCGAGCCCCCAGGGTGTTTTGCTGGAATCTCTATGTTTAGTCTTTAAAGACCCAACCTTGTAGAAGCATATACTTTCTCAAGGATACTTACCCTGCTAATTGTATCTAGAGGTTAATTTTAGTCGAAGCTGTTGTGACAATAAAAGCCTAAGAACGCAGATGAACAGGACTGCTTTTTCCTTTACCCTCTCTTCACAGAAACGCGTGTCAGAGCTATCTGTTCATCCATCTCTCAGGGTCTGCTGGTCAGCCGCGGCAGAACAGGAACTTGAACCACACATTAGTGCAAGCTAAAAGATGAGGACATGTGATATGCATGTGCTGAGAAGAATTAGTAAGGATTTCTTGGTGCCTGCCCTTTGATATAAGGTTTAAAGAAAGAAAAAGAACCCTTTCTTCAGGTAGAAAGGAAGTGAGAAGGAGTCAAAATGGAGCATAAATGGGCCAGAAAGTAAAATGAAGATTCATGGGACTTAAAAAAAATCCTCATCTGAGAATATATTTTTTAAATTGGTTTAGAGACAGGAGGGAGGGAGGGAGAGAGGGAGGGAGAGAGAGAGAGAGAGAGAGAGAGAGAGAGAGAGAGAGAGAGAGGGAGAGAGAGAGAGATCAAAGCAAGTGAAATATTGAAGCAAGAGAAAGATTGATCAGTTGCTTCTCGTATGTGCTCTGACTGGAGATCAAACCCACAACCTAGGTATGTTCCCTGACCATACCTTTTGGTGTACAGAACAATTCTCCAACCAACTGAGCCACACCAGCCTGGGCAAGATTTATGGGAGTTTTGAGTTCTGCTTCTGACTAAGATGTAGGAAGCTAGAAACATTTAAAATAACAGCAAAGTCATGAAATACTTAGGTAGAAATTTAACAAAATATGTGCAAGATTTGTATGCTTAAAACTATAGAACATTGGTGAGAGAAAGCAGAGAATAAATGAATACCTGAAGAGCTAAGCTGTGTGCATGGATTGGAAGACTCACTGGTGTCAAGATGTCTAGTCTCCCCCTCCCCCAAAACTGTGCTGCAGACCCAATACTCCCAAGCAAAATTCCAGCAGGCTCTCTTTTTGGTGTGTGTGTAGGAGTGGGGAGGGAGGTGTGAGAAAGAAATTGACAAGCTGGTTCTGTTTACATGGCAAGGCAATGTATAGGACATTCAAAACCATTTTGAAAAAGAACAATGTAGTTGGGTTAGCCACACCACATGATTTAAAGATTTGTCATAAAACTACAGTGAGTAGTCCAGATGGTGATATATTGGTGAAAAGATAGACACTTAGATCAATGGAACAGAATGGATAATCAGGAAATAGACCTACACACCAGTCGATTTGTGACAAAGATACTAAGGCAATTCAAGGGAGAAAGGATAGCCTTCTCAACAAATGACGCTGGTAAATTGGACATCTATAGGCAACAAGCAAATAAACAAAAACAAACAACCCCCCCCCCCGATCATATTTTATACCACGTGCAAAATTAACTTGAAATGGATCACAGACCAAAATATAAAACCTAAAACTATAACTTCTAACAGGAAACAGGAGAAAATGTGACTTTCAGGTAGGCAAAATTTTCTTAGTAGGACACAAAAAGCACAAATTCTAAACAAAAAAATCAATAAATTGGACTTTATCAACATTAAGTTTTCTACCCTTTGGAAGTGATCCAACATGCTAAAGGCTGGAAAAATATTGGCAAATCACAAATCTGATAAAGGACTTATATACAGAATATATAAAGAATTCTCACAACTTAATAATAATGATCACTAAAAATGGACATTAGATTTGAACTAAAACTTTGCCAAAGAAAGATGTTCAACATCATTAGGCATTAGGAAAATACAGACTAAACCATGATGAGCTATCACCGTAAACCTATTAAAATGACTTAAAAAGCAACCTGACAATGTCAAGTCTTGACCAGGATGCAAAAATGGTGCAACCACTTTGCAAAAATAGTGCAATGCTTCCATAAAGTTAAACACACACTCAACACATGACCTAGCACTCCGACTGCTAGGATTTTATCCAAGGGAAATGAAAACAAATGTCCACATTAAATATCCTATATAATAAAAGGCTAATATGCAAATTGTCCCCTCAGAAGTTCGACCGACCGGGAGTTCAACAGTTCGCTACGACATGTGCTGACTACCAGGGGGCGGTGTGGAATGAAGGAAGGTCCCAGCCAGCAGCCAGGGGAAGGAAGGCCCTGGTCAGCAGCTGGAAGGCCCCTATCAGCCCTGATTGCCGGCCAGGCCCAGGGACCCTACCTGTGCATGAATTTCATGCACTGGGCCTCTAGTATGTACATAAATGTGTCTGGTGGCTTTATTCACAGTTGCCCCAAACTGGAAACAATTCAAATGTTCATCAGCTGGTGAATAGATAAAGCACCTGTGGGTCAGCCACACAGTGAGATGTTATTCAACAACAAAATGAATAAACTCCTGAGAAGTGCGACTTCATGCATGTTGAATGCATCACAATAAGTGAAAAAAGCCAGACTCAAAGGCGACATGTGGTGTCATTTTGTGTGGGTGTGTGACGTTCTAGAAGGGGCAGGATGCTCTAGAGACAGAAGTTAGATCAGTAGCTGCCAGGCCTGGATTGGAGAGGAAGGAATTGGCTGAAGGGGCACGAGGGAATGTTTTTTGGCTGACAAACACGTTCTACATTCTGATTATGGGGGTTGATATATAGATGTATGAGGTTGTCAGAATTCATAGAACTGGACACCCCAATGTGGTGAATTTTTGTGTATTAAGTTATATGCCAATAATGCTGAAGGGCCTTATACAGTGATCTTCAGGTGACCTCAGGCCCTCATCCCCTAGGCCCTTAGGTCAAGGCTGGGTGGTTGGCTGTCTAAGTGAAGGACTACCTTATGTGCACCATTAACTACCCATCTCCACACACATTCCCTGTCCATATGCTATATGCACAGTAAATATGGGCAAATCGATGAATGAAAGAACAAATCAGAGTGCTTGCAGGAAACCAAAGTAGACCCTGAGGATGGAGGGCAGCACTGGGCTCCCAGCCTCTCTTGCACCTGCGCCAGCACGACTCAGCTTCCTGCCGCTGAGAGTTGCTTTGCCTCCCCCACCCCGTCCTGACTCACACGGCCATCTCGCCTGGATCACCCTTCATAGGACCCGAACCCATGGAAAAAGCACACCTCACACCCAGATCTCCAGAAAATGTCATGTCCTGTCTTCCCCCATAGGATGGTGGGGAGTTCAAGGTGTGTGTGTGCACAAAATACTGGTCATGTGAGCATGTGCCCCCAGGAGGCGCCGCTGTGCTAAGGAGGCCAAACTTGGGCAGGAGAGTCCAGGTGGCAGAGAAAACTCTCCCTCTCGAAGACAGCCCGTTGTTTCTTCCCCTGACATCTAGAATAATGATGCTAGTTAATTGTGCTGAGTGCTTGCTGTGTATCCTGCTAACTAGGATAATGGTACTAGTTAATTGTGCTGAGTGCTTGCTGTGTGTCCTGCTAACTAGGATAATGGCACTAGTTAATTGTGTTGAGTGCTTGCTGTGTGTCCTACTAACTAGGATAATGGTACTAGTTAATTGTGCTGAGTGTTAGCTGTGTGTCCTGCTAACTAGGATAACAGTACTAGTTAATTGTGCTGCATGTTTGTTGTGTGTCAGGCCCTGTTCTGAAGCACTTTGCCTGTGGAAGTCCATGTGATGCTCCCAGTAACCCTGTACGCGGTTATTATTCTCATTTCACAGGTACAGGAACGGAGACAGAGAGGCTGTGACTGCACACACAGGAGGTAAGAAGTGACCTAAAGCCACAAGTCTGGCTCCAGCCCGAGTTCTGCATGCTCCACACTGCGGGGACGCCAGCCAGAGGGAAGGACTAGAGGGGCTGGGGTGGGTCCTGGCTTCTTCCAAGAGGAGACCCTTCTCCAGCCCTTGCAAGGCTGGAACCAGAGGATGCAGGCAGTGGCCCTGGAGGAGGGCCTGACCCCGGCTGTGAGGTCAGTGATCCCCGGCGAGGCTCTCAGCCTCGGACCCTGCCCAGCCCCAGCCATGCGGTGACCCTGGCTGGCATAGACGGAGGGGGCTGGCCTCTCGGAGGTCTGCAGCAGCGGCTCCTCCTCTCCTCTCCTCCCCTACCCGCCACCCCTCCCTGAAACACAAAGCCAGACCCCAGTCCTGACTATTGCTCAACCCCCAGGAGCCAGTCAGCACACGCCTGACTGCCAGACCCTCTCCTTTCTGCAGACAAGGGAAAGACGGGATCTTGCACAAGGCACTCTGCGTCTGCCTCCGCCAGGGCAGGCTGCCATGGGGCCTCTCGGGCTGCTCGTCCTGCTCTCGGTCACAGGTAGAGTCCCTCCCTGCCCCGCAGAGGGCTTCTTTCCTTCCCCTCCCTTGAGTACCTGGCAGGTGGTGGGGGGAGGGGGGGCGGGGGGGAGCACTGGGCAGAAGGAGGTGCAAGTCCCCTCTCTCCCACCGACCCACATCCTCCTGCTCGCCCCCCCCCCCCTCCCGGCATCAGAAATATCAGAAACCCCAGACTCTTTTGTATTTTTTTGGTGTGAAAGGCTGGCGGGGTTCTGGGCCTGTTTTTGCCCCTCGAAAGGAGCTTGGTGGCATTCTCCCAGCACTAGCTAGTGGCTGGGGGGAAGTTTGGGGGCACTGGGTAAAAGCCCCGAAAACTTATAAACCATTTAAGCATACGACTAGCCCCCAGAGGAAGTGGGGGGGGGAGGGGGGGGAGGAAAAGAACCCTGGGGGCTGAAAATTCGTGTCCTTTGGGGGCCCCCTTCCCCAGGCTCAAAAGGTCCTTCCCTCCCTCGCCCTGGGAAGGGCGGGGGGGGGGGGGGAGGGGCAAATATTTCTGTCTGTGAGCTGGGGGGATTGGCACCCCCGGTTCTTGCCCACAACAGTCTTTCCTCCTTGGGGGAGTGGTGCCTCTCACTCCCCAACAATAGGCAAACCTGGGTGGGAGGAGCCTGTCCCATGGAGACTGGCTCCTGCAGTTTATCGGCTGGGGGGTGTGGAGGAGGGGGGCGCCGGCCTAGAGGCAGAGGGGTGAATGGGAAGATGTGTGGAGGGGCCACTGCTGACCAGGTCTCTCTGGCTCCAAAAGGCAGGCCACCAGCCCCCCAATCCTAGCTTTCAAGTGTCTGTCCCAGATGCTTGAAGATGGGTGAAGGGAGAAGGGCCGAGAGGGGAAGTTGAGGCAGAGGGCTCTGGGTGGCTCACTTGCAGCCCCTGCCCTGGAAGTGGATGGGTGCTCTGAGCCCATCTCCCCCACCCCAAGGAGGACCCCAAAATAGCAGCCTCGTGTCTCCCCCAAAATAACTCTGAGACGAGTCCATCCTGAAAGGGGAACAGAGCCGCAGAAATAGGGAAGCTGGAAGCTAAAGGTCAGAAAGAGCAGAGCGCAGAGCCGGCGTGGGCAGTGGCACAGGAACAACATGGCCAGTGCGGGGTGCTGCCCTCCCCGTGGAACCAGCCCCAGACCCGAGGGTGTCCCCAGCTGTCTCTCTTGGGAGGGAGTGGGGTGAGGCGAAGCCTCGTTTCATGTGATGGGGAGAAGATGTGCAGAAAGAGCTGGAGGGGCCTCTAAGACCCAGTGTTTTTGGAAACAGGCCCCGAGAAGGTCCGTTACTTCAGCAGAACTGCCCTCGGGCTTCCAGGGACCTGGGAAAGCCCCACCGAGGGCCCCGTGGGTGGCTGTGCGATTGCTCACTGCCCACCGGGCCCCACCCCATCCGACTCCTCTGTCCAGATGACAGAGGCAGACCTGGACTTGGGTTTCATGGCTCCCAGTTTCCCACAAACACAGCCTGGACTGCGCCCCCTTCCTCCAGCTTCTCTAAGAACCCAAGCCCCGTGAGGGCAGGATTTCTGTCTCTTTTGTTCACGGCACATAGTAGGTGTTCAATTAATACTTGATAAATGAGTGGAAGAGTGAAGGAATGTCTCCTCCCCAGAGCTGTCCCGAGGCCTCAACACCACGGTGCTCCGGGGCCTGGCAGGCCAGTCCCTGCGGGTGTCCTGCCCCTATGACTCCCGGAAGCACTGGGGGCGCCGCAAGGCCTGGTGCCGCCAGCTGGACGCCGAGGGCCCGTGCGGGCGGGTGGTCAGCACCCACAGCTCGTGGCTGCTGTCCTTCCTGAAGATGCGGAACGGGAGCACGGCCATCACGGACGATGCGCTGGGCGGCACGCTCACCGTCACGCTGCGGAACCTCCAGGCGCAGGACGCCGGCCTCTACCAGTGCCAGAGCCTCCGTGGGGGCGAGGCCGACACCCTCAGGAAGGTCCTCGTGGAGGTGCTGGCCGGTGAGTGGGCAGCGGGCGGCCCCTCGGAGGTCCTCAGGCCGGGCTCGTGCCGTGGGTGTCTGTGCACAGGACCCCTCTCTGGGGCCCGGGGCCCTGGGAAAGCCCCACCGAGGCCAGCGTGGGGGGTTGTGCAGGCTGCTCACTGCACCAGGTGCCACAGTCCCACCCGGCTCCCCCGTTCAGACCACCCCCTGCATCACCCATAGGAGGGGGACCCATCTCTAATTCGCACAGGGCACCACCTGTGGTTCTGCTTCCATGCCCATCGGTGGGAAGTGAACACTGTAGGGGGTCCTGAAGGAGTAGGGGGAGATTCCTGAATTCCCTCACCCAACCACCCAGGGGACCTACCAGCATAGATTAAGCCCCAACCAGGTGCAGAAAAACAAGCAGGTGCAGAAAGGAACGGCCGTGTCCCTGGGCAGCGTGCACACCTCTGTAACCCCTCATCTTTAAGTCCTGCTGACCTAGGGCTCCTGTGAAGCACACGGGAGATGCAGTTAAAGGTGCGGGTGTGTGTGTGTGTGTGTGTGTGTGTGTGTGTGACAGCCCCGCCCCAGCCTCCGGCTGTGAACTGCCTGGCATCCTCACCCAGGCTTGCCCAGGTCCTCCCCACCCAAGCTTTGCCTGGGGGATACCCTCCAGGGAAGCCTCTGGCAGGGGGGTGGGGGGAGGGAGAACGTGAGCGTGCCCTAAAGGAAAGATCTAAAGGAAAGTTCAGGGTTACCATTCCTTTTCTGACTCTCTTCTTCCCAGCTCCTCCCCCCGCATGTGCTTTCTCATGGGAACGAGGTTCCAGGGTAGCATTTGTCTGAGGAGGGAGCTTAGGGGCACTGTCTGCCCAGACCCCAAGCCCCATTTTCACCATCTTTCTAAGTGGGAAGAGGAGTAGGGGGTGAGGACACAAAAGTTCAGCCTTATCTGGGTCTAAGGCCCAGCCGACTCCCTGGATGGTGGCAGAACAATGATAATAATAATAATAACAATAACTCAAGGCTGGTGGCTTAGCACTTCACTCAGGACTTGCAAGTACATCCATTATTCCACGTGATCTTCCCAAAGACCCTGAGACTTACTGAGCGCTGGGAGGTGGTGGGCCCTGCGAAGGCTGTTCCACTGAGTCCGCAGCACTGTTACTGAGGGGGGCTCCTAACTGCCCACTTCATAGGCGAGAGAGCGGAGGCTCAGGGGGCTAACAACTTGACCCCCACAGGCCTCACCCCACCCAGGAGGTCCTCCCCAAGGTCACCGGCTCTGTCTCCACAGACCCCCTCGATGGCCAGGACCGCGGTGAGCTCTGGACCCCCGAGCAGTCCCAGAGCTTTGAGGACGCCCAGGTGGAGCACAGCATCTCCAGGTACAGTGACAGGTCTCCCCTAAGATCCCGCAGGCCCCACCCAGCAGAGGGCAGGGGGATGGGGCCGGCTGTGGGTCCCAGGACTGGAGTCCAAGGCAGTCAGAGCGGGAAGGGCCGGGGATGGTTCTGTCTAAACAGGCTGCCGGCCTGTGTGTGTTGGCGTGACTGCCAGGCGCTAAAACGTTGAAATTCTTTCACAACAGTTTGTAAATAGCGGTGGCTCCAAGAATCCTGAATGGTCAGCCCCCTGCATCCCCACAATCCAGCAACAGTGAAGTTTTAGTGCTTCAGTACAAAACTGGGGTCCCCAGATCCGCTCCTTTGATGGGACCAGAATCAGTCTGATTGGCTCATGTCCATGTACTGGTATTAAACATGTTAATATAACCATGGAGCACACGGGTGCCCCTCCACACGCTCACACATCTCATACCCCATCACGCAGGGCAGACACTGTGCAGCGAGGGAGGTGATGTGTTGCAATGCACTTGGCAGGCAGGCCCGGCCTAGAACTCGGGTCTCCTGACTCCAGGCTTCCCGAGCCCCACGGAGCTGCATCCCAGGGGTGGGGGTGGGGGTACTCGAAGCCCCGGAAGCTCCTGGTGTCTCCCCATCCTTCTCTGAGGCCACCCCGAGGCCTCCCACATGTTCTCCTTGTTCTCCAAGGAGCCTCCCGGAAGAGATCCCCTTCCCACCCACCTCCATCCTTTTCCTCCTGGCCTGCATCTTTCTCGGCAAGCTGCTCGCAGCCAGCGCCCTCTGGGCTGTGGCCTGGCGTGGGCAGACACGGGGGAGACCCCCGGCCAGTGGGCCTGACTGTGACCCAGGTGACCAGCTCCAGACTGTGGCCATGACAGGTGAGCTTGGAGAGCAGTGCGGCTGGGTGGATGGGGCAGAGAGGGCAGACGGGGCAGAGAGGGCGAGGTAGGGAGAGAGGGCGTGGTGGCTGAGAGGGGTGAGGGAGGACTCGGTGTGTTGCAGGGCTGAGAGACACCTGAGAGGAGAGGACCCCACGTGAACAAGACGCCTGGAGGGGTCTGCGGGGACCACCCTGCCTGTGCACTCGCCCCTCGGCCACCAAGACTCCTGGTTCTGCTTTGGCAAAACAGCACTTTGCCTGTCCTCTGCTTCCCCGGGCCCAGGGCTATGTGTGTGTGTGTGTGTGTGTGTGTGTGTGTGTGTGTGTGTGTGTGGTGGACAGCAAACATTCTCACAAATAAATCTGAGATTTCATGTTTAACTGGTTGTTTGGGGCGTCATGGAGTTCTCTTTTGCTTCAGGGTTAGGAGAATAAATCTTGATGAGGAAAAGCGACTGGCTCATTGGGACCTAAGACCTTAGGGTACCCTGTCCCTCCATTCTCACAGGCTCCAAACAGGCCATCTTTCTGTTCTCTCTCCCTTTCCTAGAGCTAACTGCCCAGTCCTGCCTCCTCTGGGATTTCTCTAGCCTCGTCTCCCTCTCCTCCTCTTGCCTCCCGTCCATAAGTCCCCAGGATCACTGCTGGCCTCCCTGTCCCAGCCTCCCTCCTCCCTTCCCACCCACCCACGTCCATCCAGCTCCCAGCTGACTCATCCCTTCTTCTCCCCGGAGCTGCACTTTCATCACGCTACTTCCCTCCAGGACTTGAGTCACAGAGGGCAGCACCCCAGAACCGGGAACTCCTGACCAAAGCCCCTCATTGCACAGAAGGGAAACTGAGGCTCACACGGGTGAGGGTTACCCAAAGGTCCCAGTAGAGCCTGGACATCCAGTTGCACTTGGCGTTCAAGGTGCCCTTTCCTCCAGCTCAGTCATTTATTCAACAGATCTTTTCTGTGTCAGGCATTGGAGACACAGAGCAAACAGAACAGGCAGTGATGTCGGCCCCCGAGGAGCCAAGTTCTAATGGAGGGAGAGGAAGCCGACAGTAGACAAGTCGGTCAGCGGTCAGGGGTACGGGGTGTGCAGAAGGGCCGGGCCGGTGCCGTTCTAAAGGTGGTCAGGACACTCTCCAGCAGTTACCGGAGCATCACCACGGACACAGCGACGCCCTCCTAGAAACGTAGCAGAAGAAAACACCCGTCCACACACACACCTGTGCAGAGAGCTCACAACCGTGTGGTTCCCAGGTGCCAAGAGGAGAAATAACCCAAAGGTCCACCAATTAAAACACGTCCACCCACACCATGGACTGTTATTTGACAACAGGAACGAAGCGCTGACACGCCACAGCGTGGAGGAACCTTATGATCAGCGCATGAAGCCGGTCACCACATTGTACAACCCATTGTTGTCCTGAAAAGGCAAATCCACAGGCAGGAAGGAGATCAGTGGTTGCTGGGGGTGGGGAGTGACTGTGCTAAGGGATGTGGGTCTTCTTCCTGGGGTGATGACAACGTCCTAAAATTGTGAGTGTTCTAAAAGCCACTGAGTGGTACACATTCAATGTACAATTTAAATGGATGAAAAAAAAAATAAAGGTGTCAGAGGCAGCACTGTGGGAGGTGAGGGGGTGAACCTCAGCTATCCTGGTACCCACACCCACCAGGCCCCGAGCGATGGGGAGCCCTGGCCGAGACCACCCGGGAGGGCCTCGGGCGGAGGAGGAAAGGCATCCTTCACACCCAGGGCAGAAGCTCCCGCCCGCGGCCACGTGGCTGCTTTGCCCCTAACCGGGGCTGGGAGCCTGGGGCCCTGAATCCCTGGTGCAGCCTTGGAACCCTGCCCGGCCCCGCCCAGCCCGGCCCCTCCTCGCCCGCTCCCCAGTGACGCAGCTCCACTGGTCCCATCTGTTTCCCTGGCCTCTGACTCGGGCAGGGAAACTTCCTCCTCATGTCCCCAGCACAGGACATGAACAGACTGGTGGAGCCCAAACTGAGCCTGGTTCCACCTCCCGGCCGCCCCTCCCCAGGCACCACGCTGATGAGATGGCAGGGAGGCTGCCTGGTGGGTGGACCCGGGGCAGGCCCGGGGCGGGGCGCAGGCGGACCTCTCCTCGCCATCGGACTCTCTGGGGGCACCCTGGGCTGAAGGGGGTCAGATACTTGGGTTTCAAACCTCAGCTTTGCCTCCTACTAAGAAACTTTAAGCAAGTTCCTAACTCCTGAGGCTCAGGGTCCTCTTCTATTGAAAACAAAACAAGTACCCACCTGGTACAGAATAATATGGAGTGTAAACTGCCATTGAAAAATAAAATTTAAGCAAAACCAAACCACCCCACCTTCCCCAGGGAGGGAGGAGAGGACGGAAGCAAACCTCGCTGGAGATGAGACCGTCTCTTGGCGTATTCGCTACTCACCCACCTGGACACCCTGGTCGGGCCCTCGCTTAGGAGGCCCCCGCCAGGCAGGAACGGGAACGTCTTTACAAAGAACTGTCTCCCCAGCAGAGCGGATAGTGCATTCCTGAGACAAAAGTGTGATCGAATGAAGAACTGCTTGGAGAACAGGAAATCTGGTGAATGAAGAACACTAAAAAAGAAAACTTTAAAAGCCAGTAGTAGAAGGGATGGAAGAAAAAGATGAGGCTATCTTCCAGAAATCAGAATGAAATGGACCACAAGAGAAGGAAAATAAGAGAAAAAGGGTATGAAAATGAATGCATTAGGTTTTATATCCAACTAATTAAGGAGTTCCAGAAAAACACGGGGGGAGGGGGAGAAAGAAAACGGGGGAGTAATTATCAAAGAAATAATGCACTTCCCAGAACTGAAGCCGTGGGACCACCTTGGAAAGGTCTCCCAGCGGACCCATCAAACAAGACAGGCCCCGCCCACATCAGGTGGGGCTTCCTCCTGAGGTGGGACCTCAGGAGAAGGACAGTCGCCTGAGAGCTGGGGTGGGGACACTCACACAGAACTTAGGACCAGAAGGCCTGGGACCATGGGCAGGACACTCCCTCCGTCCCTCCCAGCTCTGCATCCTCAGATTCTATGTTTGGAAGACCCCAAAGTCATCTTTCCTCCTTCCCTATTGCCCTCCAGCTGCCTTCATCCTCCTGCTTATTCCTTAGCTGGGCCCAGCCCTGCCCTGCCCAGCCCTGCCCTGCCCAGCCCTGCCTTCGGGGTGGGGTCTGTTCCTGAGCACTGAGCCAACCAGGGTTAGGAGGCTCCTTATCCCCACCCGTGGAGGCCCCACCAGTGTCTGTCTCCCACCCTGTGGTCACCGAGAGCCCCATGTGACAGAGGCAGATGTTTCCTGCCCCAGGGGAGTGCCGCGTCAGTGCCCAGCAAGGCCCCAGCCAACATCTCCCAGCCCAGCGATGGGTCCCAACCTGCTCCTGCTGCTGCTCCTGGGACTAGCAGGTGAGGTTCAGAAGGTGCCGAATTCTGGGCCCCCTATGCCCTGCTCCATGCCTAGAAATCATTGACATGATTGTGGCAACAATACTGTGTGTAGGGCCTGAAGGGGTCCCTGTGCCCCTAGGCCAGTGGGTGGGCTGGGAGGTTCCCCCAACGTCTAACACCCCTACGTCCTTTCCTTCCCTAGGCCAGGGCTCTGCTGGCAGCCTCCCCGAGGAGCTGCAGGCGCGGGTGGGCAGCTCCATCCGGGTGCACTGTCACTACCGACCCCAGGACGGCAGGGCTCGGAAGGTGTGGTGCCGGTTCTTGCCGGAGGGGTGCCAGCCCTTGGTGTCCTCAGCCGTGGACCGCAGAGCCCCAGGGCACAGCCGCACCTTCCTCACGGACATGGGGAGTGGCCTGCTGCAGGTGGAGATGACCTCCCTGCGGGAGGAGGATGCCGGGGAGTACGGCTGCGTGGTGGAGACGGCCACTGGGTCCCAGACAGTGCACAGGGTGGCTCTGAAGGTCCTCCCGGCAGGTGAGTTGCCTATCCCAGGCAGGTGAGTTATCTAGCCCACGTCGCCAACATCAGACCTGCCCTTCCCACTCCCACCTGCAGCCTCTGGGTCCTTGAGGGTGGTGGCCGCTGGGGGAGAGGACTTGGGAGGGGACATCCTTCTGACAGCTCTGCAGGGAGCGGAAACCAAACTGGGTGAGCATCTGAGATAAAACAGCCAGTGCAGCCCCTCCCCCTCCTGCACAGCCAGGTCCCCCAGGAAGGCGTGGCCTCTTCCGCACCCAAGGCCTTGGCCTCCTGGGAGAATGAGGTCATTTTTTTCGTAGAAATGTCTTAAAGTTTGAATTCAGGCATATCAACTTGAATTACTCTTTTATATCATCCAGGTTTTTGTAAATTCCTGTACTAATGGGTTTGATGGCCTGAAATATCTTACTTAATCCTCTCAGTCCTCACGGAGCACCCAGTCCCTGCTCACCCACAGGTGGGGTATGTGCAATGCCTCCACCACCCCAACCATCCAGTCCTAAAGTGTCCGCAGTATGTAAGCGAATATTCTCCACCCTAATTTCAGTAGGGAAAGCACTTTCTTTTTATACATTTAACTCACAAAGCCTACAGCCATCTAACATCTAAGCAACAATTTAAAGAAAAATTTCAAGTGTTAGAAATTTTTCCCAGTAAGATGGGCTGTTGGGAAAAAGCTGTTCGGAGGGAAAAACGGTCAGCCAGCAGCTGTGGGGCAGAGGCTGCCGCTGACGTTCTCTCGCGGCTGCTGACAGTATTCGCCCCCAGGGCTGCCTTTTCCCAGGACTTTGTGCCAATCCCCAAACAACAACGTGAAGAAAGGCGCTTTCCTTCTGCTTTCCCGTCTGTTAATTCAGAAGGTGATGGAGTTGCCATGAGAATCCCTCCTCGCTGGAGTCCATAATCACCGCTTTCTGTTATAAATACACTCCTGTTCGTCCTCGTCACCTTTGTCCCCTCCTTCCCTGACACGCTGCGGTCTGGGAAGTCAAGGTGATAACTCCTCTGTTGGGACAAGACAGAGGCACCAGAAGAGGGGCAGGGAGGCGGGACCTGCAGTGGCAGGTGTGGCCCCACAGCCAAAGGTGGAGCCTGGTATCCAGGGAGGATGTGGGGCAGCTCGGACAAGGAGCTCCAGGGAGGCCCACCCATGGGGGCTTAGAAGGCACATGTGGCCAGAGTGGGCCTCAGCACCTCCATTTCCTGGTTTGGCCTGGGGTGGGGAGTAGACACGGTGAATCTCCTGAGAACGGGTGAGGCTCCCATCCCAGAGGCTCTAGAAGGACTGGCCAGGCTCCCAAGGCAGATCACTGGGCTCAGAGGAGCCAATGCTGCCTCCCTCCGTTGAGCACGTTGTCACCAAACTGAGTCTCAGGGTCCGAGCAGGTCCCCCAGCAAGGTCAGTTGGCATGTATCACCTTAGGGCTGACCCTGGAGTTCCTCAGACCCTGAGGGCAGAGCTCGGAGGGGCTCAGGGGCCTGCAGGGGCCACGAGGCGGCAGGGGTGTGGAGAGGCCTCGCAGCCTGTGCGGAGGAGCCCGTGTAGAGCCATGCAGGGGAAGCGGGTGGGCGCTGGAGCAGAGGGGAGAGTGGCGTATTCACAGTCAGGTGAAGCATGAGGAATGCCATCCCCTGGCGCCCAGAGTGCATGCCTCTAAGGAAGACCCCAGCCCCTTCTTTGTGTTCCTTTCTCCTCAGCTCCCCCCCAGCGCTCACCACTCACCCCCACAGGACCATGCCCACAGCGGGTATGTGCTCATTAAATATTCCTTCTGCTCAGCTCCTGGCCTGGCAGAGGAAGAGGAGGAGGAAGAGGAGGAAGAGGGGGAAGAGGAGTTCTACAAGGTTGCCAGTGAAACTGACGCCCCCTCCTCAGACCCCCTCGGCAGTGCCAGCCCTCTGGAGCCCAGCCAGCATGAGAAAAGGTACAGACGGGACCCTGGGTGGCTGGGACAAGGGTGGAGGTGAGGTTACAGCTTGTTCAGAGCCCCAGAGGAAATCAAAGGGAACCCTATGTTTTTTTCCTTTCCTGGGGAACTTCTGATCAGGTAGGTAGACAGACAGACAGACCTCTTCGTTCAGTTCAACAGCGGTCCCTTCATCCCTCGGGGTCCACAGCCATCGTCCCTCGATAATGTCTCTAGTCTGCCCCGCCCAAGCCTGTCCTCCTCACTCCATTCCAAACACCTCCTTCTCCCAGCCATGGCCCACCAAGAACTGCACCCCAAGCCCCTGCTCAGGAGTCCTGGCCTGCAGCTCCCAGCTAGTCAGGGCCCAGCTCACCTGTCCCTTCGTGTCCCTCAGCATCCCTTTCATCTGGGGCTCTGTGCTCCTGCTGAGCTTGCTGGTGGTGGCGGTGGCGCTGCTCGCTGTGGTGGCCAGAAGGAAAGGTAGGTGGTGGTCCATTCTTCTATCCCAGCATGGCCTCCCTGGGCCTGTCAGCCCGTCTTTAGACCAGCCCAGGAATCTAGACCATCCCCTACAGAGGCATTGGCAAGGCTGCCCAGACTCTGGAGTTCCCATGGCTGAGGGGTGGAGGGGAGGTAGGAGTTCAGTGGGAGCAGGCCTGGGGGAAGACAGGAACTGGAAAGGGTGGGGGAGTGGGACTGGGGACAGGGGATTGGAGAGGTGGGGAAAGGGCTGTGGAGTTGGGGTGGGTGTCCAGGCAGGTTTGGCCGGGAGCTGTGGAGGCAGCAGGTGGGCGGGGAGTCAGGGCAGGCTGCATGGGGCTGTGGGTCCGAGGGGGAAAGGTTCAGTGGTGGGAGTGGGGAAGGTGAGCCTGAGGTTTCTGAGGGGGTAAGGGCTGGGCTTTGAGCCGGCACAGGAGGCGGACTGTGCTGCTGTCCTCTGTGTTACCAGGGAACAGGCGTGGCGTCCCTGGCCAATCCCACAGCAGCCGAGGTCCAGGCATGGTAAGAGGGAGGCCTCTGCCGCTCCCAGCCAATTTGCCCAGGCTCTCTGCCAGCCACGCTCCCTGAGAGGTGCCAGGTTGATGGGGTGGAGGGAGGACTGGGACCCAGTTGGGGTCCAAACCATTTTCCTAATGGTCCTTTGAAAATCCTTTGTCCTGCCAAGGAATAATATCGATGCATGGTCCCACCTTCCCAGACTTGGGGGAAAAAATTAGGACTTGGAAATCTTCAAGGAGTCCTCTTGCCCACTGACATATTCAGGATTCCAGAGAAGAGGCAGCGTGGTCCTGGGCTTTGCCCCAGGGGGCTGGGGCCGAGGAAGGCGTGCTCTGCCTGATTTGCCTGCTTTTTCACAGGCGCTCTCCTCAGTGGTCCACACTGATGACTCTGGACTGGCTGTAGGTGTGCCGTCGAACGTACCGCACATCAGGCTTGACTCGCCACCTTCCTTTTGACAGCACCACCTATAGCAACCTATCTCTTGAGCCCCCGTCAAGGAAACCCCCAGCCCCAGCCCCATCCTCATCTCCCCCTCTGCCTCCTAAGGTCCTGAGCTGCTCCAAGCCTGTGACATATGCCACAGTCATCTTCCCTGGAGGGGACAGGGGGGGAGAGCCCTCCCAGGAGCCAGCGCAGGATCCTCCTCAGGGCCAGGCTCCGCCCAGCTGAGCTGCTCACCACACTGTGCTCACAGAGACCATCAGGATTCTTTCTGTGCGTCCACCAGCCAGCCTGTGCCCTGCATCCTCAGTGTGTCAGAGCAACTAGGGACTTTAGGGTCCAATCTAATGTCTAGACTTCTGACCTGCAAAGTGATGACTGGTGTGACCCGGGTGTCTTGGGGGAGCCTCCCACGCTGGCACCTCTGCCATTACACCACTGGGCTAAATAAACTCTAAATGATGATCTATGCGCTCTTGGTGGTTGAGGGGAAAGGAAGGGCCTGAGTTTGACTATTTACTTAGCCTGTGAACTGAAAAGACTCGAGTTGGTGCTGCGTGATTTCCTGCCTGTCCTGCCAGGGGGGCGGGGCTTCATTCCCTGGTCTGGACATGGCAGTGCAGTTGAATTCAAGGGGCACAAAGAAGGCATTTTCCAAAAGTATGTCCCACCTTCCTCATGATACCTGAAAGTATAGATTCATTTCCTTGCAGCTAGAAATCTTTTCTGTTCCTGCTGTACACCTTGGAAACAAATGACATCTTCTGTGTGACAATATATGAGAGGAGGGGGGTAATGATTCAAGGAGACTCAGGACAGATGGGGTGTGAGAGGGGGCTGAAAAGAAACAGGAATAAGGACAGAAGTGGAAATAAGCATCAGTATTATTCCTGAATTTTCAAATGCTAGGAGAGAAGGCTCTTTGCAGACCTTGAGCAGAGCTGCCTCTCTCTTGGGGTGGTTATCCAGCACTATTCCCTTTGGCCAGAACTCGGGAGCTTGGGAAGAGCCCAGTGGAGAAAAGGCATGGGGGAGGGGGGTGTGGACGGTAAGGCTGTGGTCATGGTTAAGTATAAATGAAAGCTAATCTAGGCCGGGGGTGGAGGGCCTTTAAGATTCTGCTAGGATTTCTCCTGAAACAGTTCAATTTGAAAACATTTGCCCATATTGAGATGAGAGACTTAAGTGGAGAGGAGGAGGTGCTCAGGAATCCAGTTTTCTTATAATCATGGAGAGCTAGGCGTAAAGAGTTGCCACCATCTGGAGGGGCCCTAATTTGGTTTAGGCACCTCAGGAGAAGGGACAGAGCAGGGCTGTGCCCTGGGCTCCAGCTATGTAAGCCTAAGTGGTACTATTTTTAGAGAGCTTTGGCAGGATGTTCTGAGTGTCCCTGATAGAGTCTCAGTCGGTGACAGAAGCTAAATTTACTTCTGACCCTTGTGGAGGCAACAGTCCACCAATCACTAAGCCCTCATTTTTCCCTGGCTAAGATGACTGAGAATTTGCCTGGTGGGGAGGTGAGGGGGTAAAAGGTGGGGGGAGAATGAGGGGGAAGGGCAGAAAGAAGTCTAAAAAGAACTCTTCTGGGTAAAACTTACCCTGACCTAAATATATTTTGAACTTTTCAGAACCCGACAGAGGCAAAAGCATATTTAGCAGTACAAAGGAAAATACTAAGGAAGAGGATCAACGGGCTGGGGAGAGAATGAGGGGGAGAAGAGGGAAGGGAAATACATTAATTCCATCATTGCTCATAATAAAGGAATTAAAAATTAAATTAAATTAAATTAAAAGTACCCATTTAATATAACAAAAGACAGTGGTGAAATAGAGGGGAAAAAACATAAGACAAATAGAAAACGTAAGATGGCAGGCATAAATCCTACCTTATGAGTAATTACATTGAATGTAAACAGATTAAACATTCCAATTAAAAGACAGAGATTGGAAGATGAATTAAAAACTACATGATCCAACTATATGCTGACTATAGAAGACACATTTTAGATTAAAAAACACAAGTTGGTTGGAAGTTAAAGGATGGAAAACATATCATGCAAACTAGTTAAAGAGACTTGGAATGACTATATTAATATCAGACAAATAGATTTTAAGACAAAAATTTTTACCAGTGACCAACGACGTATAGTTTCAAATGATGATGGAGTCAATCCATAAAGAAGATATCTACACTAATAACGAGAAAAATGGTAATTGGCATACGACCGCTACCCTTCCCATTGGCTAATTAGCGAGATATGCAAATTAATCACCAGCCAAGATGGCGGTTAACTGTCAACAAAGATGGCGGTTAATTTGCATATGTAGGCACAATGCAGGAAGGCAAAAGGGAAAGCACAGAAGAAGCCCCCTGGCCCTGATAGTGATGGGAAACCCAGGGGGGAGCTAAGAGCCGGGGGACAGGGCAAAGGTGGCCCCCAGGGCCGCCTTTGCCCTGCCCCCCAGCCATGATCGGAGAATCCTGGCCTTTGCCGCACTGGCCAGTGATAGTGGGAAGTAGGGGTGGAGCCAGCGATGGGAGCTGGGCAGGGGCGGAGCCCGCGATCCTGGGGTGGCTGCAGCTGTCGGTCTCCGCTGCCCGGAGCCCACTATCAGGGAGTGGTTGAGCTGGGTGGGGGGGGCGGCTGCAGCTGGGGGTCCCCACTGCCCGGGCCCAACGCCTCGGCCAGAGGCGTAAGGCCCGGGCAGGGACGGAGCCCACGAAAGGGGGGGGCGGCTGCAGCTTGGGCTCCCCACTGCCCTTGCCTAACGCCTCAGCCAAAGGCGTTAGGCCCGGGAAGGGGCGGAGCTCACGATCGGGGGGTGGCTGCAGCTTGGGGGGGTCCCCTGGCCTGGGCCTAACGCCTGGGGCCAGAGGCCGTGAGGTCCGGGGCAGGGGCGGAGCCCACCTATAGGGGGGGCGGCTTGCAGCTTGGGGGGGCCCCCTGCCTGGGGGCCTAAACGCCTCAGCCAGAGGGCGTTTAGGCCCCAGGCAGGGGGCGGGAACCCCACCGATCGGGGGGGGCGGCTTGCAGGAAAGGGGCCCCCTGCCCAAGGCCCTAACGCCCTCGGCCCAGAAGGAGGCGTTTAGGCCCGGGGCCGGGGGCGGCTTGCCGCTGGGGGGGTCCCCCGCTGCCCCCCGGCCAAACCCCTCCCGGCCCAGAAGGCGTAAGGGCCCGGGGCAGGGGGGGGGAACCCCACAATCCGGGGGGGGGGGCTTCGCAGCTTTGGGGGGGCCCCC